AAAGACCTGTAAAAGGACAGACCCGTCACCTCTTACTACGCGTACTGTAACACTGTACTGTAACACTAATCGCAGACTTAATTCCTCTTCTTGGTGACGTCGCTTTACGAATTCTGGGTTTTGGTACATTTAGGAAAAAGGGATGGTTCTTGTTTCGCTTGGGTATAGGTCGCTTTTGTTGTTTGATTGACGTCAGGGATTGATTTTAGGTTTGATTGACGTCAGGGGTTTTCTTGTTGTAGTAGGGATTTTTGATGATGAGTAATCATATGATGGGAGTAACTGTAGAAGTAATTGTGAGATATAGTGATTGTGAAGGAGGAAATTTGGGTGGTTGAAGATTTGGAGAGTTTGGAAGTTCAGAGTTTAGGAGTTTGAGAGATTGGAGGTGTTAGAAATTAGGGATTTGAGAATGTGGAAACTTGAGAATTTAGGGGTTGAGGTGTTGGAGACTTGAGAAGTTGGGAATTTGAGAATTTGGGAAATAGAAAATTTGGAGATTTGAGAATATGAGGACTTGAGTATTTGGGGATTTGAGAATTTAGGAATTTTAGAATTTGGGAACTTGAGAAGTTGGGAATTTGAGAATTTGCGAAATAGAAAATTTGGAGATTTGAGAATTTGAGGACTTGAGTATTTGGGGATTTGAGAATTTAGGAATTTTAGAATTTGGGAACTTGAGAATTTGGAGATTTGAGAATTTAGGAATTTTAGAATTTGGGAACTTGAGAATTTGGAGATTTGAGAATTTAGGAATTTTAGAATTTGGGAACTTGAGAATTTGGAGATTTGAGAATTTAGGAATTTTAGAATTTGGGAACTTGAGAATTTGGAGATTTGAGAATTTAGGAATTTTAGAATTTGGGAACTTGAGAATTTGGAGATTTGAGAATTTAGGAATTTTAGAATTTGGGAACTTGAGAATTTGGAGATTTGAGAATTTAGGAATTTTAGAATTTGGGAACTTGAGAAGTTGGGAATTTGAGAATTTGCGAAATAGAAAATTTGGAGATTTGAGAATTTGAGGACTTGAGTATTTGGGGATTTGAGAATTTAGGAATTTTAGAATTTGGGAACTTGAGAATTTGGAGATTTGAGAATTTAGGTATTTTAGAATTTGGAAACTTGAGAAGTTGGGATTTGAGGATTTGGGGAATAGAAAATTTGGAGATTTGAGAATTTGGGAACTTGAGAATTAGGGAATTTGAGAATTTAGGGATTTTAGAATTTGGGAACTTGAGAAGTTGGGATTTGAGGATTTGGGGAATAGAAAATTTGATGATCTGAGAATTTGGGAACTTGAAAATTTGGAAACTTGAGAAGTAAGGGCTTGAAAATTTAGGATTTGGGTATTCAGAAACTTGTGATTTTAGGAACTTGAGAATTTGGTGTTTGGAAATTTAAGAATTTGAGAAATTAAGCATTTGAGAATTTGGTAATTTAAGCATTTGGAAACTTGAGAATTCCGGTATTTGAGATTTTGGGGACTTCAAAATTTAAAAGCTTGAAAATTGAAGGTTTGCGAACTTAGAGACCTGTGAATTAGGAGTCTTAAGGACATTAAGTGGATCAAGTGAATTTGAAGTCTTGAGGCTTTGAAAATTTAAGTGTCTAAGAAGTTAGATAGATGAGAATTTTGTGATTTGAAAATTTGAGAATGTGAGAACCTTGGACATGAGAATTCGAGGACTTGAACATTTTGAACTTGAAAATTTGAGGATTAAAGAATTAGTAGACTTAAGAATTTGCTAATCCGAATATATTGCACATCAACCCTTAGAAATTTAACTTTTTAAAGCTTGAAGAATTATGTCCTTGCAAATTTAAAGCTTCAGAAATATACAAGCATAAAATCTCTCTAATTCTTTCAGTATTTATATACTAAAATCAGAAAATTTTGTAACCGATAATCTGAAAGTTTGCAAACTCCAAAAGACAATTTGTCCTACCTGTGAAGGTCAATTCCCATTTCCACCGAAGAGGACAATCGTCATTCTTACCTGAGAAATGTTTTGCAATTACAAGGAAGTGGTTACAGTATAATACGGGTAGAGGTTGGGAAAGACCGGAAAAATGAAGAAGGAACGCTGTATCCGTAGGCGGAGTGCCCCGAACCGACGCGAGGAAATGAAAAGGGTCCGCAAGTACTGCGTCGCACGGGGGTCAATATTTTGACACACGTCACCGTCGGCGGCCTTTAGGGACAGATGCTATTATAACCGGAAGATTATCTTTGACTTCCACCTAACACAATTGGCGGTATTTCAATACGATGTTACCATTATCATGTACTAATAACTTATTGACTATGGTTAATTTTTCATACGCAAACAGTAAACAGTGTCTATGATCAAACAAGGATTATGCTTATCCTAATTGAGAGTTGGGCAATGAACATGGAAGCTGATTATTAGTTAGTGAATTTAGTATAAACATTGTGTTTTAATGAATATAATCAAAATGTTATATTTAATCAAATATAATTGAACTATTATGTTTTAACAAATACAATTAAATGATTATATTTTATCAAATATGGACGAACTTTTATATTTTTACAAGTATGATTAAATGATTATATTTTATTAAATATGGACGAACTTTTATATTTTTACAAATATGATTAAATGATTATATTTTATTAAATATGGACGAACTTTTATATTTTAACAAATATGATTAAATGATTATATTTTATTAAATATGGACGAACTATTATATTTTAACAAATATGATCAAACTATTATATTTCATGAAATGTGATGAAACTATCAATTCATCGAACTATTTCATTAAATACAATCAAAATATTATAATTCATCAAATACAGTCGAAGTATTGTATTTTATTGAATATAATCGAACGATAGTGTTTTATCAATTATTATAAAATAATTGTATTTCATCAAATGTAATTGAATGACCATATTTTATGAAATAGAAATTTTGGTAAAAATAAATATTAAAAAATAGTGCAACCACCAACTTGTATTTCATCAAATATATTAAAATAACCATAATTTACCAAATAGAATTTTTAACAGAGCAGTGAAGTGAATTTTCAAAAATAGTGCAACTAACATCTAGTATTTTATTGAATGCAAAATGATCGAATTTTACCAAATCAAATTTGCGACAGTAAAATGAATGAAATAAACTTAAAATAAATTTTGAAAAATAGCACAACCAAGAACTAGCATTGTATCAAATACAAAATGACCGAATTTCACAAAATTAAATTTGTAACAGTAAAACAAATTAAATAAACTTGAAATAAATTTTGCAAAATAGCACAACCAAGAACTATTATTTTGCCAAATACAAAATGACCGAATTTCACTAAATAAATTTGTAACAATAAAATAAGTGAAATAAATTTGAAATAAATTTTGCAAAATAGTGCAACCAACAACTAGTATTTTACCAAATTAAATTTGTGACAGTAAAACAAATTAAATAAACTAGAAATAAATTTTGAAAAATAGCACAACCAAGAACTAGTATTTTATCAAATATAAAATGACCAAACTAAATAAATTTGTAACAATAAAATAAGTGAAATAAATTTGAAATAAATTTTGTAAAATAGTGCAAGCAGCAACCAACAAACGTTGATAGCAAGATATTCAGGTAGTTCGATAAGAAACATTGTACCGTAAAATGCAATTGTTACGTGCAAATGTTTAATTCTCGTTTACACTTATGTAAACGTAATAAACGATGATGATCGATCTTAATCATACTCGCGGCATACACGAGTTTTTGGCTTTAAATCATTTTCCTGGCTGTTTGATTTATGGACTCGGTTGGTGCAGTTTATAATTGCTATACATTGTTAATTATATATGATTTTGTTACGACCACGCAATAAAATATAGTGTCAATCTGTTAGCCTGCTGCAACGAACGCACTCGGTTTCATTCATAATTTCTACTTGCATAGTATTATTCTTTCAAAACACTCGAGCGTTTTCTAATTATTGTTAAACATACCTTTTGATTAACCGCGTCTATGTTTACCAAATTATTTCGCTCTCTGAGCCTTTTTATTGCATACAGTTCTAGTGGGTTTTTAATGTACATTCTTATTAGAGTATTCGAGATTAGGGAGATTGTCAATATTATTTTTTGTCAAAAATTATATTTTCTTCTTTATTATTGTGAAGTATTTTATTTTTTTAAATTTCTGAATTTTTACAAATATTTGTATCAATATGTTGTATTCTATTTGTGATATAATAATGTTAATATAATTAATATATTTTATTATTCATATAAGTCATTTATAAATCATTTTATTATTCATGTAAGTCAATTTAACATAAAATATATTAATGAATTAATTAGGTAAATAATAAGTGTTCATGTAACTGAGAATATTAAATGTATTGCTAACAAATTTTACAATTACATGAAAGAAACGTATTACATTTTTTATTCAACAAAATGATAACATTAATAAAAAGATAATAAGCAGGTATTTTCTATTAAAAAATTTAGTTAAAGAAGTATAATATATTGCAAACTTGTAATGTCTCAAAAGGTACAATAAAAAGTTACAAATATAAGGGTTGTTTTCATTAGCTCCATGCATTGTAAAGTTTACTTTTAATAATATTTATTAATATTTTACAAAATACAAGAATTTCTCAGAATATTATTTTAAGTAACACATTTGCAACACAATACAAAAACTTAAATAAATATTTCTACAACTCACCATTAGAGGGTGGCCCTACAGAAACCATCATAATTATCAATTCACAAAAAAATATCAATTTACATAAAAAATTTGAAGAATAATTCTTCTAAAAAAGCTATAATATTTTGCACATAATTAACCCGATTATTCAGTACCCCCGCAAGTTCCTCGTTCGATCGTCCCCACCCTGTCCCCGCACAAGATATATTTCCATAAGAGCAAGAAATGCGGATAAACCGCGTCAAGCGCGAAAAATGTTGTCTATTTCGCGTGTTTTACATCGGGCCTCGTATCAGGGGCGTGAGAGACGCCTTCCGCGTTTTTTATCAGCCACTGATATCTCCTTCGGTTGTATCGTTGCCGGGACGCCATTACGAACAACGCTAGAATCGGTGTTCCTTGATTGGTGGACGTTTGGTGGCGGTGGGGATGAGACCGTGCCGTAGGCGGACACGTCGTTTCGGTTCGGTCGCACCCTTCGTAATCATAGAGCAGCAGACAGTCGTCGGTTCGGTGTCTAGTGTCAGTGTCTCTCCGAAAAGTTGGTCGTTAACGCGAACGTTATAGTTGTCCCGTGATGGGAGACCCGACGGTCCGTTGAACTCAGTCGACGTCACGTCGTCGTGCAGATCGCTCCGTTTCCGCCAGTGATCGGTGTCGTCCTGTGATCTTGAACGTTCCGTGATTAATTTTATTAGCAATCAGTTACGTGCGACGGGTGCACGGAATCAGCCCGGCCCCATGACGGACATCAGCAGCATCGGTATGGTCTCGTATTACAACCCCCTGGCGATGTACCGCCAGCAGCAGCCGGCTGGACAACAACAGTTGGTCCAGCAGGTCCAGCAACACGGTCAGACGCAACAGGCGCAACAACACACGGCGATCACGTCCACCGACGGTGGACAGCAATATTGGTACGGGTACCCGCACGGGCACACGCACCCTGCCCACCATCAAGCCCCTCAACAGTATCTGGACCACGCGGAGATGCTCTCCAATTGGTCGCATCCTCACACGCATCACTACACCCACATACAGTACCAACATCAGTACCAGCAACAACCGCAGATGACCACGGTGACAGACTGGAGCGGAGACGAGACCAGCCCCAACGTGGGCGCTGGAGAACCTAGCCCGCCCATCACCGTCAGCGGGAGCGAGATCAGCAATCCTGGAACACCATCCACTCCGCCGGCTAATAATAATAATAATTCGACCACTAATAATAATAATACTAGCCATAATAATAATAATACGACGCCTATGAGACCGGGACAGATCAGAAGCCCTTATGAGTGGATGAAGAAGACGTCGTATCAGAGTCAACCAAATCCAGGTTAGTTGAAATTATTGATAGAGAGAATGGGAGGCTGTTATAGTTGGTGAAAGGTGGAATGCGAGGATGGGTGAGGATTGATGTTGAGAGTAGAGTCTTGATGTAAGTTGGATCCTGGTTGGTTGAGACTTTTAACGCAAGTTGGATTCAGGTTGGTTGAGACTTTTAGCGCAGGCTGGATCCAGGTTGCTTGAGGCTCTTAAAGTAAGTTAGATTCTGAACCAAGTTGGTTGGGACTCGTAACTTGAGTTACATTTGTACTCAAGGTAGATTGAGACTTTTAGCGCTATTTGAGTTTGAAATCCTGCTTTATTGAGACTTTTAAAGTAAGTTAGATTCTAAACCAAGTATGTTGAGACTCGTAACTTGAGTCAGATTTGAAATCCAAGTGGGTTGAGACTTTTAGCGTAACTTGGATTTGAAATACAGGTTAACTGAGACTTCTAACGTCAGTTAGACTTGAAATCCAAGTTGGTTAAAATGTATAACGAAAGTTGCATTTGAGTCCAGGTCGGTTGAGACTCTTAGCGCAAGTTAAATTTGAAATTCAAGTTAGATGGGATTTTTGACGAAAATTTAAGTTAAAATCTAAGTTAGTTAAGATTCTTGACGAAATGTAAAGTCGAGCTAGGGGTTGAAATTTTGAACGCATGGCTGAATTGAAATTTGAGTTAGATGAGATTTTTGAGGAAGATACAATTGAAACCCAAGTTAGTTGAGGTTTCTAATAAATATTTGAAATTCAAGAGAGACTTTTAATGAGAATTAGAATTGAAATGCAGTTTGAATGAGATTTGTAGCAAAAAATTAGAAATGAAATGCAAGTTTGACGCAAGGTAAATTGAAATCAAGGTGGGTACCACGGGGTGCGCGCGCGACAAGATGAGCTCTGAAAGGAATACGACTTTGCGGAGAGTGGTAGTTTTTGAGATGTGGAAGAATTAGATTAAATCATGTGAAGTTTAGGTTTAAGGAACTGTAGCAAAGTAATGTATTTGTTCGGAACTTTCAAAGTTTTGTGGATTTGAAAATTGGGAAACTTGGGGATTTGGGAATTTGCGGATTTGAAAAGGGAAATTCTGCATTTGGGGATTTGGTTACTTGGTAATGGAGGATTTTGGAGATTTGGTAACTTGTTAATGTACAAATTTGGAGATTTGGTAACTTGTTAATGTACAAATTTGGAGATTTGGTAATTTGTTAATTTGGGAATTTGGAGATTTGGTAACTTGCTAATGTTGGAATTTGAAGATTTGGAAACTTGCTAATTTAGGAACTTGAGAATCTGGGAACTTGTTAGTTTAAAAATTTAAGAATCTGCAAACTTGTTAATTTGGAAATTTTAGAGTTTGGAAACTTGTTAGTTTAAAAATTTGAGAATCTAGAAACTTGTTAACTTGGAAATTTGAGAATCTAGAAATTTGTTAATTAAAAATTTGAGAATTTGCAAACTTGTTAACTTGGAAATTTGAGAATCTAGAAAATTGTTAACTTGGAAATTTGAGAATCCAAAAACTTGTTAACTTGTTAATTTAAAAATTTGAGAATCTGCAAGCTTGTTAACTTGGAAATTTGAGAATCTAGAAAATTGTTAACTTGGAAATTTGAGAATCCAAAAACTTGTTAACTTAAAAATTTGAGAATCAGAAATCTTAAAAAACCCCAAATTAACAATGTAAAAACACGAAAATTCAAAAGACTAAAACCAGAAAAATACAGAAAGAAAATCCAGTCCCAAAAATGTACAAACACCTCTTTCAAATTTGAATATCCTAAAATTGGTCTTAATAATCAGACACAAATACTACTTACATCGAAATTAGCACTCAATTCAGAGCTCTTCTCGTGACGCACGCACAGGTCCTCGAGCAGCCCAAGAAACTTAATTCTAAAATGGTACCTCAGATAACGGCTGCTTGTTGCGTCAGAATGTAATTTGCTCTAATTGTTTACATAAAATTAATCAACGACACCCAAAATTATTTCAAACAGTCTGTACGTTGATCAAGAAATCCTTTCAAAAACAATCATTTCTGAATAGAAACTGTACAATATTCTCTGGCAAAATCTTAGGAATATCTCATAACTGTTAACCTAATTCAGATTTCGAAGTAAGCACAGTATCCTAGGACGTTGTTTTTCTGTATCAACATACGATATTTACAACTTCGACACAAGGGTACCATTGCTAGACTCTGTTTACGAAATTTGAAGATTTTATTAAAAAGCACAAACGGTGAGAAATTGTGAAATTTCAAAGAGGAGCATAAATTGTAAATTGTAATTTAAATGATACTAAAATATTCGGGAAGATTATATTTAAATTTTTGATGTACGAAGAGTAGATGTGAATTGACGTTTCTTCATTGAAAATCGACCGTGAAGAAATGTGCTGTTTATAATCGATGTTTGTCAACGTAACTGATCGATATTGCCTGTTCCGCATCGTCGGTTCAGGTAGTCTTTGTAACACCTTAGCACGTTACGATTTAAAACTGGAATTGTTAAATATGAATCGTTTGATTATAGTTCATGAATTTGTAAATTAATATATTTGTATATTGTTTATTTGAGAGTAGAGAAATTTTGAAAGATTAAGGTTTAGAATTTAGAATTTAAGAAATGAGTTAGGAGGCTTCGGAAGACAAAATGGCGAGAAGGTTCTACTAGCGGCTGGAATGTGCTAGAAGCATCGTGTTTAACTTGGAAGAGTGATGGAGACACTTTTCTTGCAGTTTGCAAATTTTTTAAGCTGATAACTTTGGGATTTGAAAATTTTGGGGTTTTGGAAATTTGAGAATTGGATGATTTAGAAATCTGGAAATTTTAAGTTTTAGAAATTTGTGAATTTGGGAAGTTGAGGATTTAGGAATTGGGGAATTTTTAATTTTTGATTTTTTTAAATTTGGGAGTTTGGAAATTATTAAATTTAAGAATTTGAGGTTTGCAAATTTAGGTATTTGGAGTTTAGGAAATTTGTGAATTTAGGATTTGAAATTTTGGATATTTGGAGTTTAGGAAATTTGAGAATTTGAGGTTTGCAAATTTGGATATTTGGAGTTTAGGAAATTTGAGAATTTGGGGTTTGCAAATTTGGATATTTGGAGTTTAGGAAATTTGAGAATTTGAGGTTTGCAAATTTGGATATTTGGAGTTTAGGAAATTTGAGAATTTGAGGTTTGCAAATTTGGATATTTGGAGTTTAGGAAATTTGAGAATTTGAGGTTTGCAAATTTGGATATTTGGAGTTTAGGAAATTTGAGAATTTGAGGTTTGCAAATTTGGATATTTGGAGTTTAGGAAATTTGAGAATTTGAGGTTTGCAAATTTGGATATTTGGAGTTTAGGAAATTTGAGAATTTGGGGTTTGCAAATTTGGATATTTGGAGTTTAGGAAATTTGAGAATTTGGTGTTTGCAAATTTGGATATTTGGAATTTAGCAAATTTGAGAATTTGGGGTTTGCAAGTTTGGATATTTGGAGTTTAGGAAATTTGACAATTTGGAAATTAGAAAATTGGGAATTTGGGAATTGGAAAATTTCATCAATTTTGATTATTTCCAAATTTTTAAATTTGTAACTTTGAAAGCTTCTAAATTTATAAATTCAGAATTTGGAAATGTATGCACTTGAAGCTTACTACATTTAAAAATTACCAAATCATCAAATTTACTAATTTATTAAGTTGAGTATTAGAAGATTTGCAAATTTAAAAGTTTCCTTTATACATTTTGAAATTTGCATATTTATAATTTTAGAAATCTTCAACTTAATAACTTTGAACATTTCCAAACATCCAACATCCACTTAAGCAAGTTTAAACAAGCGGTTCCTCTTTTCGTTCCGCCATTTTGTTTGCAAGAACTGTGCTCCACAACTACATCTTTCCATTAATTATTATTTCTTAATAAAATTAGAATATAAACTAGAACTCTTCCGTCAGTATAAAATTCGATTAGGTAAATTGATTCGATTATAATTACTACACGATTCACGGTATCAAAATGGAGAAACGTTTCGGAGAAACAACCGTGGAGTACTTCGTGCACATCGTGCTCGGTTATAAACACGTCTCTAAGGTCTAGATATGGCGAACAATGTAAACACGGTAACAGACGAGCAAACATCTAATTGCTCTCAAATATTTGTGAGATAATCTCCGTCCTCTTGGTGTCGCCTCGATTTTCAACCGGACCAACTATACACGTATAATGTTACCTGTTCAAATCCTACCGAAACAAGTATTTCTACCGATAAAATTACTACATATATTACGTTCTAATTGTTCTTGTATTTTCGTATACAAAATTGAAGATCAGTTATTAAGGGAATTAACTGTCGGGTGTAAAATCGAAGATTGTTGAGAGATTTGGTGTGGTAGATTTTTGAAAATTATGGCGACGGTGGAGGATTTATGATGAGGGGGTTGTTTGGGGCCCAGCACTGTTAATTTTAATTCATTGTTTTGTTGTAAATATTTGTAGTTTAAGAAATGGTGTACAAGTTATAATTTGACAAATGGTGTAGGATTTATAATTTTAGAATTTTACAATTTTACAATTTTACAATTTTACAATTTTACAATTTTACAATTTTACAATTTTACAAATAGATGAAAATTTAATTTTTTATTGTTGTTATAAGTAAATCGTGTAATACTTACTCTTGGTAATTAGCAATATTATACTTTTCTTCAAATTTATTTCTAAGGCATAAATTGCAATTTTTAATGGGACCCCAAAAATCATTACGTTTCGAGTTCCTCCAAAACTAAATCACTGGTCTTCATTTTAATCCTCGTTTGACTAAAAATTAATGCTGAAAAGTTTTATTTCAAACGAAAATTAATATTAAATTACCTAAAGTGCTGTTTCAAAAGAAAATGGATTTGAAGCAGGAAAAAATGTTATTTAAAAAAGAAAAATAGACTTCAGAAAAAAATGTTATTAACAAAATTGCATCTCTAAGAAAAATGTTATTTTAAATAAAAATGTTCTTTA